GAAAAAATATGTGTTATTAGGGGAGATGCATGCAAAATGATCCCCTTAAGGGAAAATCTTTACTGTGTTCAAAGTTTTATACAAAAACACAAGATTTAAATTGTTAAGAAAATGTTAGCAAATTTACTTATCTTTGTAACTGCATACTTATTTGTGATGATTTGTATGTGGTTTATTAGTTTCGTCATTTTAAAAAAAAGTGTAGTAAGGGATCGTTTTATACATACACGTGTATAAAACGATTCCTGGAAAGAGTTAAAATGATCCCAGGGATCATTTTCTACCTTACAATATTTAATAATAACAAAATAAAACACCCACCTGTTTATTTTAATCATATGTATTACTTAAAGCAACAAAAATATTTAAGCGTGTTATACATAACATTTAAATCTTGAATTACATTAGAGATCATTTTTTTACTACTAAATCAACAAAATTAAACGTTAAACAATTGTAACAAACGTTTTAAGGTTTATATAACTAACAAAATATAAATAAACAAATGAACTCTTCTTCATAATTAAAAAAACAATAGACTATTCCTCAGGCCAATTTTGGCGAATGGGTTTTCGTTTGTAAACTCGCGGCATGATCTGTACAAATAATAATTCAAAGTAAAAAAACTTTCTTAAAAACAAGCTTTAATTTAAATGCTCTAAAAAGGAGAAAATAAATAATACTTTCTTAGATTTACGCGAATGTTTGACATTATTAAATAAAACTATCTTTTCGGATTATTTCGCGGATTTATTTTGATTTTTGGTTCCTGACGTTTCGAATGCTTTACAGCATCCATGGTCACGGGAGAGACTGAGGTGTTACATGTCTTAAAGATATAGTTGTTACAGACAGCCTACCCACAATTAACAAAATGAAAATTGCACCAATTACATTACAATATTTTTAACTTTAAACATTTTTATAATTTTAATTATAATTGAATATGGAAAATTATTTATTTAATTTTTGCTATTATTTTTATAATTATTACAATTTTAAAAATATTAATTAGTAATCTATATTTAGTGCTGCCATTATTATATTTATAACCATAAATAAAAATATAAAAATATAGTATTAATTATTAAAGCCATATATTTGTTCTATGTGTAATTTAAAAAAGTTAAAATTAATTACGGATAATCATTTTAATTTAGTTTGCTATTATTTAAAAACAACTTACTAAGCAACACTATTAATATATACTTTTACAAATGAAAAATATTAATCTGATAAGCTGTCATTTTGATCTACACAGTATGAACTTACTACATCTGCCTGTCTGTTATGTTTATATTTATTATTTGATTTTATTATATTAATAACAGGATCCCATGACGATGGTAGTACCCAGCCATCTTCCCTATTGTAATTTGGATGTTTTTTAATTTCTATGGCTTCTCGAATCATTCTAGGGCGATATCGGTTTTCTTTCGCCAGGATTTGAGGTCTATCGAAACGAATATAATGGCTTGGGCGGTCCTGGCTATGTTTGCAGACAGCAGATGTTGTATTGCGACGGTGCTTCACATAAGCTATGTGTTCTTTGACCCGGGTTCTAATGGATCGCTTTGTTTGTCCAATGTAAGAGAGCCCACAATCACAATCAAGCTTGTAGACTCCTGCATCTTGTAGAGGGATGTGGCACTTGACAGGTGGTAAGAACTGACTAATTTTCTTTGGCGGCTTGAAGTAAGTTTTAATAAACATAACAGACAGGCAGATGTAGTAAGTTCATACTGTGTAGATCAAAATGACAGCTTATCAGATTAATATTTTTCATTTGTAAAAGTATATATTAATAGTGTTGCTTAGTAAGTTGTTTTTAAATAATAGCAAACTAAATTAAAATGATTATCCGTAATTAATTTTAACTTTTTTAAATTACACATAGAACAAATATATGGCTTTAATAATTAATACTATATTTTTATATTTTTATTTATGGTTATAAATATAATAATGGCAGCACTAAATATAGATTACTAATTAATATTTTTAAAATTGTAATAATTATAAAAATAATAGCAAAAATTAAATAAATAATTTTCCATATTCAATTATAATTAAAATTATAAAAATGTTTAAAGTTAAAAATATTGTAATGTAATTGGTGCAATTTTCATTTTGTTAATTGTGGGTAGGCTGTCTGTAACAACTATATCTTTAAGACATGTAACACCTCAGTCTCTCCCGTGACCATGGATGCTGTAAAGCATTCGAAACGTCAGGAACCAAAAATCAAAATAAATCCGCGAAATAATCCGAAAAGATAGTTTTATTTAATAAGGAGAAAATAAACTTTAAAACAAATCAAACTCATCAATTTATTACATTACTTCATTAATATGATATAAAAGCGGAGTTTCAGTGGCAATTTTTTAGCTTCATCTTCAGACCCTCGTCATCATATGTAATGGAAATTACTCATGATAAAAAAATACTAGCCCAAATTCAACTTTCCTACCATTTGCCATCAAGTAGTTCCAGGCTCTACACCCTTTTTTTTTTTTTTTTTTTTTTTTATGTCGGGAAATGCATTTACGCATACCACCTGATCCCCCAGGTGGTGATGTGGGGCTCACCGGCTAGAAGAGCCGGTACTACCCACTAAAACCCGACATTCCCCTCCCCTCCGCCTTAATGGGACGCCGCAGGATCGCTTGCGCATAACTACTACGGCGCCCCGGCGGCAGGTCTGCCAACGGCTGACCACCACACCGATGGGGCTGCTCCACAGTCAACTCTGCTACACCAGAGAGGTACCCGGAGCAGCTCCATAAAACTGAACCTCCGCCCACCGAAGTGGGCCACCTCAAATCGGCTGCAGAGGACAGGGAGAGCGGCAACGAAACACCGACACTCCTCTTCCCCTGCAGCCCCACCGCGTCCGCCATCAAACGGTGGCGGCCCCGTCTGGGCCGCGGAAGGTAGGGAGAACGGCGCACCGAAATACCGGCACTCCTCTCCCGCCGCGGCCTACCCCTCCGCCGGATGCGGGCCTGCGACCCCAGTCCCGCAACCGGCACCCATCATCCGGTTGTGGGACCAAGCGGTCCCACCACCGGTGGCCGCAACGTCTTCGGCTCGAGGCCTAGACGAGCGGCCCCATCCAAGCCATTTGGTCCGCGCCGGATTTCTCCGGTACCACCCGCCGCCCTAAGCGGGTGGCATTCCCCTATCCGCCACCTGGGGACGCGCCCGGTAGGAGTTGGCTTCTCCCCCGGGAAGGCTCTACACCCTGGCTCCACCATTAGATCAGCTCGATGGTATCATAATATTGCACTGTCAACGGACTAACATAAGTATGCAAAATTTCAGCTCAATCGAACACCGGAAATGGGTCAAATTTAACGTTCAAATTAAGGTCAAATGTAAAATTTGACGTTTACAAACATACATACATATATACATACAGATATACATTACAAGTTAAATAAAAGTTTTTAAAAGTACTAATGGGGTAATATGAATCCAGGGATCATTTCACCTCAAACACCAAATTTCAAGACATCGATCAAAATATAATCTTCAAATACAACGTGCGGTATTCAAACATTGCTTAAATATAGCTGAACGTTAATAGAATCCGCCAATAGAACAATATTTCAATAAATCTTAACATACAGAAAGTAATGAAACTCGAAAAATAGACTTACATTAGGTTAGAAGCACATTTTTTATGTTTTTTTAAAAAAACCACGGTAAGTGCTCACACCGCCATGACACTTGGAGAGGCAACTGGAGGAGTTGCAGGGATGACGTTTATTGTATATTTGAATTGATGTCGCTAGTAGTTATTCGTATTCGGTGGGGAATCATTTTACCTCGAGGGATCGTATTACACGCATTTCCCCTATTTTTATCAATATTATTATTTATATGATAAATTGAATCTTATTTTATCTATGTTAATAATTAATTATACAAAAGTATTTGTGTAATTTAATTTCAAATTAGATACCTCATATGACTCAGTTTAAACAACCGTCATTAATGTCTGTTTGTGTTTAGTGTCCAAAATAACAGAATTGATCTTTGGAACGAGAATTCCACTATGTGTATAATGAGAGGACAAAATAAGTTAGGATTTACAGGTTTTTTTTCTTATTACATCAATACAAGTAACCAGGTTATTGCCGTGTAGAGACCAATGTCTCTACATCACCTTCGAATTTAAAACTGGGTTGTAAATCATAGAACTGAGCGGATACTTTTAGATTTATGTTCCCGAACAAAATAGGTACAGCAGGTAGACGTAAGTATGTATGTGTATGTACGTACGTTTGTACAGAAGTCATTATACAACTATCCGACACCCGGATTTATAGCGCTTTATTTATCATTCTTATGAATTAGCTTTCTTAACACCTAAGAACATCATCATTGCTATGTTCTTACTGAATTGTGTCTAAAGTATAAGGTTATTGTATAGATTAATGTTGCAATGTTTTATAAAGATGCGGTAAAGATTTTGCGAAAGTGACGCAATCTGTACAGTGTCTAATGTCTGTAATGTTATAACGGTAAACACCTTTTGTTTGTTAGATTCTGTATTTATTTGTTAAAAGTTTGTGGGCAGAAGGTGTGCGAGGAGGTGGTGACGCGTGCGGGGCCAGACTCCGCGGCACCGACGCCGTCCCGCGCGCCCTGCTCGCGCTCGCCACTCGCTACTCGCTACTGCCTACTCGCTATTCAGTACGCGTCGACCCGTCGTCTCATTCGCTTGTGCCAGTCGAGTTTGTCGCACTAGTCGTTCTTACGCGTTTAACACGCGATACCGCGAATTTTAATCTCTACTTATATTATAATAATACGATATATAATTTTGGTTTAAGTGTAAATGGTTTGGTTTAAACGCAGCGTTAGGCAGTGGAACGTATAATAGGTGTTTGAAGTTGATAGGTAGAAGTACAGAAAAGTGGTGGTTCGTCGTGAGCATGCGAGTCCGGGGCAAGTGGTGGAGTGGCGGCATGATTGGGCGCGCGAGATGAAGCATGGCGGCGGCGCTGGCGCTGCTGGTGGCGGGCGCGGCGGCGCTAGCGGCGGCGTGCCCGGGCGCCGGGAGCGGCACGCACCTGGCGTGCCGCGGCGCCGGCCTGAGCTCTCTGCCGCCGCTGCACGATCGCCTCGTCGTGGTGTAAGTACACTCAAAACGCCCTCAATATAATCGTCGAATGACCTTGCAAATTTTCCAAGAGTTTCATAAATCAAATTGCTAATATATAACTTTATTAACTAACCCAAAAACGAAAGTGTTTATATCATCATTACGTATCGTCTTTTATAGTAATATTGTTGTTTATCGAATGCTTCGTGTGATGTCACATTGAATGAAACTGTTGGTTGCAATTCACAACTACATAAAAAAATGTGATCGCGTTGATGTCTTTTCTACTATTTTTAATTATTTCATCTAATTGCTTTTCTACGTGTTTAATTCAGCTGAAAATATATCCCAAAATAATTAATTCTAAGATATTGTTTACTATAACATTTTAATAACTTGCAATGAGCAACGTTACGCGTGACCTGCGGGAAATGAGATCTTGACACAATTAAACTTTATTTAAATTTTATATTAAAAAAAATACATCACCATTATACTTTTTATACTATACTGCATAAAACATAAGCACAGAAATAATTCAATCTGATAATAATATCGTAGTTAAAACATATTTCGAAATGTGTATTTTGCAGAAGTCAAATATTGTTTTTGATATTGTGTGTAGGTACATATTTTTTCCAATAAAGTGGACAAAGCGCCCAGTGCTCGATAATCTATTTTATTTCCTTCAACTCTACATATACTAATTGCTACAAAGCTCTCTATTTTCTAAGTTTGTTTTAAATATGTATTTTATTATATTAATATTATATCTTTTACACTAAATTACAATAATACAATAATATATTTATATTATACAGGATTATAAAATCGTCCGTTTATAAAATCTTTCTTGAATTAAAATTGTGCTACATTGTGTTTTGTTTCATCTTTTATACAGTATTTTAGTAAAGCTTAACGGATTTATATTTAAAAGCAAGTAATAAATACATATATAAAATAAATACATATATAAATAATAGCCTGAAGCTAGCAAAGAATTTTTTCTATGTTTATTCAAAAATATAATACTCAAAAATTAAACAGAGGTAGTATTGGGATGTTTATTTCTTACTCCATAAAAGTAACAGCGCTAAGAGTTTTATAAAAATTAATCAACATTTTGTCTTTAATTTAGAAGAAAAGTATCGAATTTATTAAGCGTCTAAATTAGAGCTGTCGTTACCTGTCGTTACCTGTCGTTACCTGTCGTTACCTGTCGTTACCTGCTACACACTCGAACCTTCTGCTTACTTGACTAACTTTGCAAATGAATAAAATGTACGAAGATTACCTACTGAAATAGAAATATTGAAAAATATTAATTATATATTTAATGTATTACATTTTATAAACATGACTGGTAAACTGGCCGATACTCATAAATCACAGTTTCCTATCATACGCAGCGTCACATCTCGCCCCTCCCCCTCTGATTGAGGCCGGTAGAGACCAATGTTTAGCTTTTATTTAGCTTAGAGCTAACATCGAGCTTTTCATAAGTTCGTTTTTTATTTTCTATTTTATTTATTAAATATGCTCCGACAAGAATTCATAAGGTTCAACTCTTTTATTTTGTGTTTTTCGTACCCGCAGCGTTGGGTCGGGGATCGGCATCCTATTAGTAGGTACCGATCTAAACTTTCGCAATTTTTTAGAACATCCGTTTATTCGTACTACTTATATAGGTTCTTTTGAATAAGATGTATAAAAAATAAGGCTGATGCTATATATACGATTTTTAGAATTCATTTTAATTTTCTTTCGTACAAATCCTGTATTATGTATTACTTTATTTTGCGAAATGTTAAGCTTGATTAAAAAAAACTAATAGCTGGCCAAGTACGGGTCCGACTTGCCATCGAGGTTTGTAAGGAACGTAAACATATTAAACAATGTATCGGTAGGTGCGGAACACTCAGCATATCCGACTTATACCACCTTGCCCGAATTTTTAAATCAATATCAACGTGTCTTCAATCATTGTGTATTCAATCAACATCTTATTTTACTCTAATATGATATCCATAATATAATAATTATATAATAACAAAAGACCATATTTAAAATAATCTCAGTTATTCACATTATGTAATAAATCAATACAGAGTGAAGAAACATATTTGGAAAATCGTAGAGAATTAATTACAGTTGTATATGGGCGGAACCAACAATGTCCAACTTGTTTGTTTCATGAAGAAAATGTATTCAAAAACTAAAGTTAAGGAATAGACGCCCTTTTCAGTTCACGTTCACAAAGAGGACTTTGAGCTATAAAATTTACCTATTTATGTGCAGAGTATGAGTGTATTCATACAGCATTTACATTGTGTCATTTTCTTTTCTGTTAACTGTTTAAGGTCTTAAAATAAATTAATCTAAGGAAAATGCGTTTTTGGAAATTTAATCACTCGGAATTTAGAAACGGCTGAGTTTTAATCTAGTAACGGTTACAAAGGCAAAGTTCACATCGATCCTTCTCCAGAGGCTAACGAAATGAAAAAGAAAATTTTATAATTTATAAAGACCCTTACGCACATATATATATATAGGCTACAGCCTTGTTAAAGAGTAACGAGTCTGGGAATTTATCTCGTTAGGGCGCGTACACATAGAACGTCCGTTTTACAGGTCCGTTTAAACGTATATGTTATTAGCGTATGTAGCTGTATGAGCCAGTTCACACACATGACAGTATTCCGGATCCAGTAAAAAATCCCATACACAACAGAAATACTGACCCGTTTTATCGGATCGAAACCGCGCGAGGCTTGGCACAGGGGTACGGGGGTTTTCCTCCAGTTTGTGTCTTTCTTTTTTAAATCCTTTTCTAATCTTTTAAGAAGGTCATCAAAAGTAGATGTCGTTATTCGGAAATAAGTAAAAATGCTGTGTGAATATTAACCTCCAGTAGCGACGGATCCGTTAAAATCGGTCCTGTAAATGCTGTGTGAATATTACCTCCAGTAGCGACGGATCAGTTAAAAAGGATCCTGTAAATCGGACGTTCTATGTGTACGCGCCCTTACTTAATTACCCGCGCTAGTGTTGGCAGCAGTTGCAGGCGGCGGCGTGTCAGAGATCGAGGGAGCCTAGGTAGGGTTCAGCAAGGTCATGTCACTCGCTGCCTTTAATCAACGCAAGAAATGGCCACCATTTTTCATTTTGCGCAATTACAATATAAGAAGATTTACGTTCGCAATGTTATTCTTATAACGTAGGATGTTTACATAACCTAGTGTATATATAAAATCTTACTGTTAAGTTAAGTGTTAAGATAATTAATTCTTTAAATTAATAAATTATAAATAAAGGTGTTTATTATATTGTATGTCTCTGTTCGTATTACGCCGAGGCACTGCTAAAGATATTCTATTTACTGTGAGCGTGTGTGGGCAATCCACACGTCCATTGAGTATTTTATGTAGAAAGCAAACATCTACAAACTCCCTGCGGCTAGATGAAGAAAGTGTTTGATATTGTTTTAATAAATCTTATTGTGTTTTCCACAATTTATAAAATTATTGTCGTTATAACTTAAATCTATTCTCCCTTTGTAAACTTCATAGAAAGGGCTAAATATTGCTTCTGATTAAAGCATTAAGTACGTTTTAAATTGGTGTATGTATTAAATTGGTTTTTGAATTTTGTTTTTATTTTTGTATTTCTTATTATGAACCTCAATGATTTTAGAGATGTTTTACTTACATCGCCAATATGTGGAATAAAGCTTAATTTTGTGTCAATTAGAACCCTCGATATATCACATTTTATTTATATCTCTTTGAGTCTCCGCACACCATTCAGAAAATCTAAATCTTTTTAATTTAGCATCATTAATGATATTATTATTTTTTATAAATTATTAGGTAAGTCATTTGCATAAATATGAAATTTGCAATGCTCGAAGCATTATATAATGTCATTTATTGAAAATTACATATATGTATACAATAATGGACCAAGGTGCGAACCCTGAGGTACTCCTGAGTAGTAATAAAAATATTTGATACATAATAACATGTCCTCCAACTGCAATGTTCATTTTACATTGATTCAGATTATATTTAATTCACTTAATCAGTCTTTCAGTAGCACCATATGCCTAAAGTTTAGCGATTAACTACATCAAAAGCATTCGTTAAACCTGTATAAATACATTCAACTTATAGTTTGAAGAATAATTATTAGGAAAATACATGATGACGTTGATACATGGAAGTATATTGTGATATAATTCTATTCATATATACGTGATAAGATATCCTTAAATAAGAGTACATACATTCCAAAAAGTCACAGAGGAAGTACCTAAGTGAATGTTAGTGTCGTTGAAGAACCACTTTCTTGTCGTTGTACGTCTTAAGATCCAACACAGTTTAAAGTAGGTAGGTCTACTTCGAGTATAATCAAGATTGTGAACAAATAATTGCAAAACTAGACTACTGCTATTTTTGTATTACCTGCGCCTGCGCTGAATTTAAAATTTCGAGGGTTAATTGAATGTAAGTGCAGTGTTTCATTAAAAAGACAGCATTACGCAAATTAATTTTCAGTTGAGTTATTTTATATATTCGATTTAAAAATATTTCTACGGACACTTTAAAACCTGGTTTATTAGCTACTTCTTACTTTATAGAGAAATGCTGCCATTTTTATATTGTTATGAAACATTTCTTTTTATAGTTATTGAAGCCTATGCGAGGCAAGAGCGGGCGATCGTTAACACTCGTTATCATATTATGTGAAACCAAAATTAAAATCCCTGCTACCTGTATAATATTGTATGTATAATATTTAAGGAACAGCTAATTGATTTAGTGGAGGTATTGCCGTAGGTTTCGAAGCTAATATGATAATGCCATTAAGAGCGGTCTCGTGGCCGCCCCCTCTGTCCCGATGGCGGCGCCTAATGATTTTCCAACAGCTGGGAATTAATAAATAATTATTAACGCAACAGCAAAGAACTCCCCAAAGTTTAGATAAGAAAAGTAGGTCGAAAAGTTCTCATGATTTAAGAGCTAAACAGC